ATTTAAAAATTAGAATATATTTTTAAAAAATAGGCATAAAGAATTATAAAATTCTTATGTTTACACATAAGTCCAAAAATCTACCAATGTACAACCTTGAAGAAGGATAGTCCCACAACATTCCTTTGCCTGTCTCTTGCCTTCATTCACCACCCCCTTCTTTTTGAACAATCATCTACCCAAGAGACAGAACAGCAGCAACTGGCATGTCACGACAAGCAGCCCATATTCAGAAGACCAGAATGACAGGCACTCTAAGCATGAAACTACTGTTACAGATTACCATCTGCAGTGCAGTTGCTTAGTTCACAGGTATCAGTATATATACTTAGTCAGGGTGAGAATCTTTCCAATTAACTGGTAGATTCAAAAATCTAGAGATTCTCAGGATCATTGCCTTGCCCATCTTCTACATATAACTGTATGGCTTGTCACTGTCATGTTTCCTAGCTTTTCTCCTTTCCCTCTCTTAGTTTGTCCTCGAGTTCCTGCTTTCCTTTCACTTGTATTACACCTCTTTATTTGTATTTCTTCTTTTGAATTCTTATACTAGGGAAACTATGTGATATTTACACATGTGTGTCTGGTTTATTTCACTTGTGAGTATATCTTCAAGTGGCATCCACTTCAATATAAAGGCTTTGAATTATCATTCTTTAGAGCTGAGTAATACTCCATTGTGTAAAAATACCAAATCTTTTTCAATCATTCCTCAGGTGATGGGCATCTTGGTTGTTTCCAAGATTTGGGTATCACAAATTGTGCTGCAATAAACATAGGCACACATATATCCCAATCAATGATATGGTGTTTTCAGATCCTCCGGGAAAATTCCCAGTAGAAGAATCCTAGTTTGAATGGGATTTCCAGTCCAAATTTTCTAAGGACTGTCCACACTGATTTCCATAATGGTTGCACCAGTCTACATTCCCACCAGCAGTGGAGAAGGGTACCTGTTTCCCCACAGCCTCTCCAACATTTCTTTTTGGATGATTTCTTTATGATAGCCATTCTTTCCGGGGTGAGATGATATCTCAATGTTGTTTTAATTTGCATTTCACGGATGGCTAGTGATGTGGAACATTTTTTCATACATTTATTCGCTTCTTTAATTT